GTTTCGATAGCCTTCTTGATGAGGTTGAGGAAGGCTCCTCGGCCCAGGTTGGTAGCCAAAACGAGGCTACCCCGGGCTCAGAGGCTGTCCGCGACCCTCCTGAGGTTCAGGCACCTCGGGAAGCGCGAGAGACCTCGGGTAGTCTGGCATCCAGTTCTCACCAAGGTCGGGTGTCGGACCACTTTGGCCCTTCGACAATGACTTTGGACTAGCTTCCGGCTTTAGTTCGCCAGTACAACCTCCCGAGGGAGTTTTCTTACAGTCTCCCCTCAGGCAACTTCCCTTGGGAACACGATCACAATGAGATCGTGATTTTTGAAGAGCAGCTCGTGGCTGGTCTTCGTCTTCCTTTACACCCTTTGATTGTGGAGGTCCTGAAGTCCTTTGACATTACCGTAGACCAGTTACACCCGAACTCCGTCTGTAATGTAGTAGGGACCATTTCACTCTTTCACGAGTACTGTCTTCCTCTCGACCTTGACACCTTTTCTACCATTTTGTCAATCAAGAGAAACTCTTCCTGTGTTCTTCCCGAGCACAGGAGAACCTATTACTTGTCTCTCTGTCCGGGCTATAAGTTATTGCACAAACTCCCCAATAAGTTCCCGGCCTGGAAGCGGGATTACTTTGTGGTCCGTAACCCCGAGGGATGGCCTTTCCCAACCCATTGGAGGCTGGCAATTCAGGTTTCAGGTGTTAGACTGGGCCTGAGAACAAGGGAGACGCTCATGTCTTGGGCAGAGCTCAACTTCCTTTGCTTGGACTATCTTATCGAAGACAAGCTCGTGTAGGCCGACTTAAGTCCTGGTAGGTTGCCTTGGGTTTTTGCTCTCTTTTTTTTTTGATTAGTTCATGGCTAATCTTGCTTCTTATTTTTTGCAGTTACCATGCCGGTTAATGCATAAAGTCTTCTGAGGAGCTCTCAGAAGAAGAAGAGGGCGAATAGGCCGCGCCAGGAGGCCAGTTCTTCGCCCGAGGTCTTGATCGTGGAACCCGCCTCCATTGAGCCTGCCTTCGCTGAGCCTCTCCCGGAAGAGGTTTGACCTGCTTCTCCCGAGGAGGTTTCGGGGGAGGCTTAGCATGAGGGAGATCATCCCTACGAGCCGGAGAGCTCGTCCACGCCTGTGGGGGTGGAGGCTGCTCCGGAGGGTTACCAGGTGAAGGAGAGCATTATGGACCACGTTCTGGCCATGTGCAAGAGTCGGGGCGCCATCTTCCAAGATGAAGTCTCGAAGTGGGCTGAGATGTCTTCGGGCACTCTCTTGGGACTAGTTGCCAGTCACTGTATGGTGGTAAGTACACTGCTTTCTTTTCTTTCCTTTTTTCTCTCCTTTTTTGCTGACCTTAGTCTTCTTTTGGTAGGCTAATACGGCTGGTCACGTGCTGGCCTGTGATCCGCACAAAGGAAGCTATTGATGCCAGGGCGAAGTCGCAGAAGCTCCACCGCGAGTTGGACCTGACTCGGGGTGAGGTTCTTAGAGCCAAGAAGGGGGTCGAGGCTCAAAAGGAGCTGATCCTGAATCAGGAGGAGCAAATCTCCTTGCTGATTGCGGAGAAAGAGAGGCTCCAGCAGGAGGCCGTGAACCTCGAGGCCACGATTAGAGAGCGGGCCGAAGTCTTTGAGGCCACTGTTGCAGATGAAAGGAAGAAGGCTGTTGAAAGCTTCAAGGAGTCCCCAGAGTTCGAGGCCCTGTAGGTCGAATACAGCTCGAGCTCCTATCGCTCTGGGTTCAAGCAGTCCCGGCATCTGGTTTGGTAGGAGTTCCCTGATCTTGACCTTGGCGGGATTACGATGAGAGGCTTGGACCCCGAGGTGGCTAAGGCGACAGAGGAGGAGGAGCCCGACTCCCCCGGGGAGGAAAGTGACACCGAAGTCGAAGTGGCAGACCCTTTTGCATGATGGCTTGTTCTCTTTTTCTTTCTTTTTGGACTGTGGATGTACTCTCCCGGGTCGTTGAGCTTGGATTTTCGTAAAATTCTTGTACTTGCCCCTTTTGGCCAATGAAATATATACATTTTTCTGAGTAATCCTGAGTGCCAAGTGATCCAAAGTGTGAGTGAGTTCCGAGCTAGGCAATTTTTTAATGTATAGGTTATCGAACTATCGAGCTACTGAGCTGGCAACGAACAAGGATGATCGATAGTGATACTTCGGACGGCGTAGGTTACCCCGAACTGTTGGGTTACCGAGCACGGTAGCGAGTAAGGGTAACCGGGGTGGAATAGACATTGTAGGGTTTTTATACCCGAGCTGTCATTTCCTTAGGTATTAGGAGCTTGCTTGTGCCAGTGAGGTAACCAGGTCTTATGTAGTGCCTAGGTCCTTGCTAGTTCGGCATTTTTGGCCGTTAGGCTTTGGGAGGGACCCGTAGTCCGCTCCTGAGCTTCTCCCATGCCGAAGTGGCAACTGGGTCTTCTTATGGCCCTTAGGCTTTGGGAGGGACCCGTACTCCACTCCTGAAGTTCTCCCATGCCGAAGTGGCAACTAGGTCTTCTTATGGCCCTTAGGCTTTGGGAGGGACCCGTAGTCCGCTCCTGAACTTCTCCCATGCCGAAGTGACTGGGTCTTCTTATGGCCCTTAGGCTTTGGGAGGGACCTATAGTCCACTCCTGAACTTTTCCCATGCCGAAGTGGCAACTGGGTCTTATAATGGCCCTTAGGCTTTGGGAGGGACCTGTGGTCCGCTCCTGAACTTTTCCCATGCCGAAGTGGCAACTGGGTCTTCTTATGGCCCTTAGGCTTTGGGAGGGACCCGTAGTCCGCTCCTTGGAGACCTGTAAGGAACTAGATGTCAGAGGACCCGGGGTGGCCAACTCGGTGACGTCACTCCGATGGCTAAGTTAGTACTCTCATAGTAGACTGCGAGCTAGAAAACACAATCTGAGAGTTAAAGCTTGCTTACTTGTTTCTGGGGCTGGTGCCTTTCCAGTTCGTAATTAGAGGTAGTATCGCCTTAGATTGCTGATGTTTCACGCCCGAGGTACCCGCTCTCCTTCTAGGGTTTCGAGCTCGTACGTACCTTCCCTGAATATCTGTTTCACTCGGTAAGGACCCTCCCAGTTTGGTTCGAGCTTACCTACACCGGGCTCGAGTACCATAATTTTTCGGAGGACCAGGTCCCCTACACGGAAGTGCCTCTTCCTGACTCGGGCGTTATAATACCGAGCTACTCTTTGCTGGTAGGCTGCGGTCCGGATATATGCGAGGTCCCGTACCCCTTCAACCAGCATGGCACCGACCCCGGTCAGAGTGAGGCCAATTTGGGATGAGGAGCCCTGGATCCTCCACGTAGATGGCTCATCCAATCAACAAGGAAGCGGGGCCGGCGCTGTTCTACATGGACCAAGCGAGGTGAAACTGGAGTATGCACTTCGGTTCGAGTTCGCGGCGAGGGACTTGTCTTTCTCTCCTGCCGCGAGATGAGACCTGGGAGGTCTCTCCCCGGCTAGGACGGCTGCTTTGGTGGCGAGCATTGCTCGGGGTGATTGGACACTGAGGTGGGGTTGGTTGCTGGTTCTGCTGCAGTGGCGGGAACTGTTGCTGGTACATGTGGTGCAGAACTTGTCGTTGGTAATGCTGGAACTGCTGAACTTGCTGCATTTGGGCTTGGATAGCCCGCACACAGT